TGTCATTCCAGACAGACTAAATCAGATCTCTGTGTGGAGCACTGGCTGCTGTCAGACTCCTTGTGCAGACAAAAATCTCACTGGATTATTACAATTAATGGCAAAATGAATGTTTGGACATGTAAACTGATATATACTGACACTAAAGCAAAAAAATATTGTTCTAATAATTTTGACCACCACTGTAATAACATGACATTTCACTGATATTTTGACCACTGAACTAGAAAATGCCCTGGGTTTCCATTTCAGAAATCTGCTCACCTTTTCTTTCAAGCAAAGTTTTCAGCAAGGATTTGTGATTTGTAAAAGTTCATGCTTACTGAGCATACAAGTCTTATGATAAAAATCCTCCTGTTCGCTGACTTCTGTGCTGACGTTATGTCCTTATAATGTCAGATGAAAGAAAAAAACTCACTTTTATCTTTGAAGAAATGAAAGAATCAAAATACTTGAAGGAAACAGATGCGATTTTTAATTTATGTTGAGCATTTCTTTTTACCCACGCAATATATTACTTAATAACAGTGCAGCCATAGCCTTTCATGCTCCTCTTATTCAGCCTGCCTCAATATTTTTCATCTTTGATGTGAAATGATTGATCAGATCAGAATTGATCATTAAGAGACAACTATTATATATTTGAACTATTTCTGAGGTATATAGTATGTATACTGTGCATATGCTACACCATCTGATTCTTAAAAAGTAGCATTGTATTTTGACTAAATTACATTAAATTACAAGGCAGCATACTGTGTAGTATTTAGAAAGTAGTGCGCTTCAGTTCTGCACACAGGCAGACATTCTCCTTCTACACCAGCTGTCACTTCTAAGTGTACATACAGTACAATAATTTGCAGAAAGCAGAGATGAGCAGCCTGACCCCTGGTGGAGAGATCAAACACAAACATTGGCGCGCTGTCCCAGATGATCGCTCCCTTGACAACCTGTGCTGTGGGAGTACAGGAGCTATTAGCATGTGTTTAGCATGCTCAGTTGGTACCAGTCTCCCTCAGATAGGCTTGGCAAAGCTGGGAGGACCATAGCATCCGCGTTGAATGTCTTCTCTGTTGGATTAACAAGTTAAATTTAACCGGGGTTTATCCCCGTGTGTGCAGAACGGCGAGATTATCCGCAAGCTCATGGAGGTTACAGTTGGCTGGCACTCAGAGATTGCAGCGTGTTGCATATTTTATCACTGCTGCTGCTTTTAAAAGGTGGAGGGCTAAGCCAAGCACCAGCAGTCTGCCCAACTGTGAATCTCATTATCCCTCAAAAACATTACATAATTGATTGACTTCTCTGATTTAGTGGGTATGGCAGGTAAATGAGCTGAGAAAGCCTGTGTGAAGTTTCCCTGCTTGAGTTTGCTTTCTGCTTCATGGCTCGTGGTGAACCTCAGTGCAGGATGAAATACTAATGGAACAGAATATTGGATAAGCTGAACCTGTGAAGGCCAGATAAAGGTGGTCCACTGATATTTTAACTTGGTTCATGAATCATATCTTTAACAGGCCATTTATAAGATGGTGTCATCGGTGATGAAAATGCCTGAGGATGAATCCACACCAGAGAAGAGGACAGATAAGATATTCAGACAAATGGACCTGAATAATGATGGTAAGATGTGGACCAGTTTTGACTATTTTAATTCATTTTGAATTGAAATCACAGAATGACCTGGTGGGATTATTAAATAGCAAAAGTGTGTGATTTAATGAAATGAATGTAGTCTGCGGACATCAAGCGCATGTGTAGGCCTCATGAAAGGCAGTCTCAAGTAAATAAATCATATATATCAAGTAGCCTATATAAATCATAAATAGCTATCTATATAAATAAAAAATAATATAAATACTGTTGTACCAAATACAGGAGTAAAAAAATGCTTTTTTGTAAGAAATGTATATGGTGTGTGACACTTGTGTACAAAATACAAAAAAAAAATCTAAGAATTTGATTCAGCAATTATGCATTAAATTGATCAGTAAAGTGAGAGCAAAGACATTTATAAACATGTTCTTTTGAACTTTCTATTCATCAAAGAAAACAAATGTATCACATTTCCCCCCCCAAAAATCTATCTATATAGATAGATAGATAGATAGATATATAGACTGTCAGTTTAACACGTTAACTTAATTAATCAACAGATAGATATAGATAAATCCGCTGTACCCCAATTCATATCAGGTCAGCTCTTGCAGTGTCTTTTCTCTCAACTTTTTTTCTCCCACCATTTCTGTCTTCGTATTCTAGGCAAGCTGTCTTTGGAAGAGTTCATAAAAGGTGCCAAAAGTGATCCCTCCATTGTGCGGCTACTGCAGTGTGACCCCAGCAGCGCTTCGCAGTTTTGAGTCGCTCCAGACAAGCTGCACTCAATGCATGAAAGCTCTTATATCTCATTCTTCTTTGTGTTCCAGACAGAAGAGTTTTAAGAAAAAAAACGTGCAACAATTTTACTTTCCATTTTTCCCAGAAGGACATGTGTACATCTGAAGAACAAAGACAACACCTGCCAGGACATTCTTTGTCCGCTGCGTGTCATCCGTCCTTGTCTCTGCAGAAGCTGATGGAGTACTCGACTCCAAAAATATATAAAAAGCGGCTGATCGTGTTCCAGGGTCCAGATTTTGGAAAGGAATGTTCCTTTTTAGGAATCGTGCATGCGCTCTTGATCTTCACCACCCTTCTTGTGTTTAATATCTGTGCAGTTTTGTTTCTCTTCCCCATTGTTTTGTGAGGGCACAGTTCCCCATCTACTTTTATATTGATATTTAAGTGTATATACAGTATAAATGCATATAAAAACATGTTAGGACTACAAAGGAAGGCAGTTATAGACGTCTTTTTACTCACATGCATTTTATGGCAGTATTATGTAGCTTCAGGCAGTGTCCAAAACTTCTCCTCCAATTGACCCAGTGGACTGATGGACTGAATGTTGGGATTTTTCTGCTCTGGCGCTCATGATCTTTATTTTACAAAGAGAAGGCTGAGGATCCCATTCTTGAATTCTGTTCATTTAATTTTGTTGTTGTTGTTGTTGTAAATATGTGGTTTGCTTCCATATTTCGTTATTTATTTTTTGCGTTTTTATGGTGTTTTTATTACCAAGGGTGATTTTATTACTGTCGAACCGAGACGTGAGACACTTGGTGATATATTATGCCGTTTGGAGTAAGTTGTTAGTCATTCAAGGCTTTTCAGTGCATTGTGGGAAATTTTTGCATCAGGGGACACATTACGTTGAATGGAAGACACTGGTAGCACATATCATTTGAAGCGCTTGATCTGTGTGCGTGCGGTTATGCGCGTTTGTATGTACGCAAGAGTGACGGTTTGCATGTTTTTGTGTATGTATGCGCCTGTGCTAACTTTATAGTATCACTTTGTGTAGTTCAATATGATATCTTTGTATGCAAGTCAGTTTTTGAACCCCAATTTGAAGCAGCAAACTTGTGACACCTTTATCCTGTGTCATATGGTACTCAAAATCACAACCTTAGGTTTCCATCAACAACATAGACAGGAATGTACAATGCTATAAGTTATAATCATGTCTCACCTTTAGATAAAGAGTTTGAATACTGAAAGCGATCACTAAGGGCTTATTTCCACTCTTGAATGAACAGGTGTAAGGAGAAGGCCACTGCTTTGGTTTTTCTTTTCGTTTTATGCAACGACTGACATTCCATGACCTGAATTCTCCAGGTGCTCCTGCCCCTGCATTTGTAACATACAGTATTAGCTTGTGAACTCCATACATGCCCACTCTCAAAACATGTGTAGCTCTCTCACATTGCTGGCATCCATGTTACTTCCATATTTGTACCGAGACCATATTTGATGCTGCACCCTCTATGGCAACTTTCCTCTATTATGTTGCATGAAAACCTCATGCGAGGACATAATGATTGTCCCCTTTTACTGACGTTGAAAAATATACTTCTGTGTTTAGAATGTCGCCTGAGAGTGATTCTTACACAACACTGTCCTGTACATACTGTTCACTTAATGTTGCGTCAGTAACTTATTGATCAACCTGGTCATTTGATCACAAAGTGTGCTGCATTCAGAGTTGACTTAAGAAAGCCTTGAAAATTCCAATACAATTCCTGATTTTGGATTGAAGGTAACAAAATTTGAATAGAATGTAAGGAACCTAAAATAATTAAACCGAATTTAAACGTAAAAATTCATGTAATTTAAGTAGAGATTCAGAAAAGCAATGTTGACTTGACATTGTTTCAAATTATTTGAAATGTGAAAGTTTTATGCTGTAGATAGATAGATACAGTAGACTGAAGGTAACAACCAGGATTCAACATTTTAATTTAAATATGAATATCATGAATATAAAGAAATTAAAATGCTTAATAAAATTAAGTGAAATTCAAAGAAACTCATTTTAAAGTAGAAAAGCAATATTGGCTTCTCATTGTTTGAAAGTCTTGAAGTTGATAGACGTTTTATTATTTTATAGTAATGATACAGCTTAATATTATTTAGTACGTTTATTAGCCTAAATTGTTTTAAGATTTTTGATTTTGGATTGAAGGTAACAAAATTTTAATAGAATGTAAGGAACCTAAAATAATTAAACAGAATTTAAACGTAAAGAAATTCATGTAATTTAAGTAGAGATTCAGAAAAGCAATGTTGACTTGACATTGTTTCAAATTATTTGAAGTGTGAAAGTTTTATGCTGTAGATAGATAGATACAGTAGACTGAAGGTAACAACCAGGATTCAACATTTTAATTTAAATATGAATATCATGAATATAAAGAAATTAAAATGCTTAATAAAATTAAGTGAAATTCAAAGAAACTCATATTAACTCATTTTAAAGTAGAAAAGCAATATTGGCTTCTCATTGTTTGAAAGTCTTGAAGTTGATAGACGTTTTATTGTTTTATAGTAATGATACAGTTTAATATTATTTAGTACGTTTATTAGCCTAAATTGTTTTAAGATT